AACAAAAAAAAAGATTGACCAAAAAAAAAAAAAGAATAACCAGTCTAACCCGAGTCAACCGAGTCACCGGGTCGCCAGGTTTCGGCCGGGTCAACCGGTCCAATCCGGGTTGATTGCAGAAGCGGTCCAACTACCCGCTCGGACCGGGGAACCCACCGGGTCACCGAGTCACGGGACGACCGGCCGGTCCGAGCCGAGTTTTAAAACACTGATCCTATCCCATATATATATGCGCGTGTATATATATATATATATGGGTTATGATCATTTTACACCAATATAAGTTACTCTCTTAATCTTGTCCGCTGATCCCACTTATATCTAAGGGCTCAAATTTTTTAGTAATGTGAGCCATTGGATACAAGTGGATCAATGGTCAAGATTAAGTGTAACACTTCTAACTCTTACACCGGTGTAAGAATATCATGTCCCTATATATATATATATATATATATATATATATATATATATATATATATATATATATATATATATATATATATATATATCATTTGACACCGGTATACTAAAAAGTTTGACACCAAATCTTAATTGCTGATTTTCATCAATCTAACGAATATAATTTAGTAAAAATTAATAATTAATTAATAAATATGACCCAATAAATTATAAAAACTAAATCCACGGCAATCATCAGTTGTCATATATATATATATATATATATATATATATATATATATATATATATATACAACATTAGAATCATTTTACCCCAGTGTAAGTTACACTGTCAATTTTGATCATTGATTATATTTATATCAAACGGTTCTAATGTATTATGTATGTGACCTGTTTGATTCAAGCAAATCAATGATCAAAATTTGGTGTAAGACTTCTTATTCTTACATTGGTGCAAGAATATCTTATATATATAACACACACATATATATATAAATATATTATACATCCTACTTTTGCTCCCGTTGCCTTTCTGGTTAAGAGGAAAAATATTTATAGGATTTATTATAATTATTTTTTATTGTTAATACAAATAAGTATTTTTAAAAATATTCCAAACTCCTTTGGATCAATAAGAGTTGGCTCACTTGACCATGATACATCCATAACAAATCCATGACTCAGATTAGGATAAGAAAATGAGAACTATTTGTTAGATTTTGCATCCCCTCATTTTAATGTTTAGAGTAAACCCTCAACTCAGTCCTAAAAAATTAACGTGTCACCCATTAGAGAAATCAGAGCAGAATTTGTATTTCCTCTTTCTTTGAATTCAAGGCTACGTAGCAGAAAAGAAAGAAAACTAGAGAGAGGAAAGAAAGAAAAGATGGATATTCAAGCTTCCACGGCTGAAGAGGAGGATCTCCTCCAAAGGAGTATCAAAAAAATGAAGGAGGTTGCCACGGTGGATGGTGCTGAGACAGGAGGTGGACAGAGGAAGGTGATTTCTTATAAGGATAGCTTAATGCAGTTTAATGGGAATTGGGGAGAAGTAGAGAGTGTGGAGAATGATTGGTTATCAAAGCTGAAAAGGGATGAGGAAGACCTAGAAGAAAAGTTGAGGCAGGTGGAGATTGGGGAAGATGATCCTTTATGTCCTACGTATAGATTTCCAGTAGAAGAATACAAGGAAAATTGTAAACAGTGGGAAAATACACTGATAGTTAAACTACTGGGGAAGAGGTTGGGAGCGAAGTTTTTTACTACTAGACTTTAGAAGATGTGGGGTTTAACTTGTTCTCATGAGTTCATTGATCTTGAGAATGATTTTTACTTGGTGAGATTCAGTAATGAGAAGGATTATACTCATGTATTGCATGAGGGTCCTTGGGTGGTCGCTGATCACTATGTAACAGTACAGCGATGGAGATCTTTTTTTGATCCGTTTGATGACTCTGTTAAAAAGCTTGCTATATGGATCAGAATACCTGGTCTTCCTGTAACATCCCCGTCTCGAGCCGGTTCAATTAACATACATATGATAAAACAGAAAACAGCGGAAGACTTAACTTCTGAAAATACGAGCTAGCTTTTTCTTTTTCTTTTTAAATTCTCATTCGTCGTAAACGAAAAACGGGCAGAGTTTCCTCTATAAATCGGACAACTGGGGATTTTCCAATCCCTCACAGAAGCATTTCCTGATAAACAGTTTATACAAATATAATCAAATGCCCATCCATGGGCGCATGCATAACTTGGCTCAGTGCCACTATATCTAACAGCATGCAATCCAACACGTAAACATATCTGAATACTACCTCATCATATAACGTGCCTGAATACCCAAATGTACATGCATCAAAGCGACAGACATGTACAAAACATATACAGGCCATATACACAATAAAGGATCAATATCATGATCCATCAAATGCGAAAATACTAAAATACATCAAACACTCCAAAAAGGTAGTAGCCTACAGCCACTCAAAATCCAATCTGTCAACTGCCTCAGCCACGTGTCGTGTCCCTGCCTAGTGAGGACTCACCGGCAATCTGGGCACCTGAAAATGTGTCCCCAAAGAGGGGTGAGATTACAAATCTCAATAAGCTCCAGGTTTATAGAGAATTCTCCATACCCCTGGCTCACTCCTGCATGAAAGTCAGATACAAAGTATACGAATACAACATATAACAGATATCATAACAGAACAGAGCATATATCCATATCATATCAGAGATGTGCGCCGTCATTCCCTAGGGAGGACCCCAAGCGGAAATCAACGCACGTGTTCCCGAGGGAGGACCCCAAAGCGGAACCAGACATATCAGAGGAGTACACCATCAGTCCCGAGGGAGGACCCCAAAGCGGACGTCCGGGTACTATACAATCAATGGCCAGAGATTGTTACAGAAATCAAATTACAGAAGTCATATCAGAGCAAAACATATCATGTTATCAAATAACTCTATATGAATGCATCTATACAAAGCATCTAAATTACAGTCATACAGTCCAACCATAGTTCACTAACCATGGTGGAGCACTCAAGCAGGAAAAGACTCCTTAAACATAGAGCTTACCTCTTGAAGCTTTACCAATACCCTTACTTGTTGCACAAGTTACTTATATATCTTCAAGAGATTCTGATTCCTTTTCAGTCCCTAGGTACACCTAGAGCAAGAATCCACAAATACCAATTAATAAAATGCCATCATGCCTAGCTTTCACATAAGGCATACATCTTATCGCTTCTTTTCATTTCTTTGCATTTTTGCCAATCCTATGCCAATACACAAGTCTAGACCTCTTTATAACCGTTGGTGTTCTTTAATTTAATAATTCATTCCCTTACGAATTTCCAACATAAATCATAGCATTTTACTTTAAAGGACCGTGGGCCTAAAATTAGGAAATCAATATATTTTTCCATGATTTCTTTACAAACCATTTCACTTCATGACTTATCATTTTCATACTTTGAAACACACATATTTTATTAAAATAAAATATGACAACATCTTTCCCTAAACACCCTATATGTCGAATCCTTTAAGGGAATTTCCAAGGATCCTTCTCTTTTACAATACATTTTCCTCACTTAATTTAACAACTACACGTACATAAATGTATAATATATACCAAGTTCCTATTTAATTTTTGGGAATCTCAAGCTCTTTAAATCCTTCAAGGCCGAACATCAAGGGTTATGTTTCAAAGGATTTTCTTTCAAATTTAACATTCTTACTAACTCATCAAATTTCCTCTTATTCAAGCACATTAAACCTTCCCAATACATACAATAAATCTTTGTGCATCACCCCTAATTACCCTATCAAGGCCGAAATCTAGGGTATGACATCATGGGATTTTTTTCCAATTTTTATACATGTTCATATGCTTATTCCACATTCCTATATCCAACACATCATCAATCCATCATCAATTCAAATTTTAAACTAATTTATTTCACACCAACACATGCTCACAATTTCTATGACACAAACCATCAAAATATCATCATGGAAACAAAGGTTTCTTACCACTAATCAACTTCCCAAAGCCTAGAAAGCAACCTCCAAGCCAAGCTCCATCAAAAACTCACTTTTTCTCCTCCAATGAATAGTAACTCGAAAATGAGAGGAGGAATAACTCTTCACACACTCAACTATAGCTCAAATGGATAGGTGGAATGGATTCATTGAGTGGTTTCCAATCAATTTCATGTGGTGGGTCATTGGATTTGGTGGATGGATGATGAAGAAATCAAAGAAGGAAAATTTGAAACCCTAGCCCCTTCCCCTCCATGTGCAGCTCGGCCATGCAAGAGAGAGAAGAAGAAAATCTGAAATGAATAGTGTTTCATTTAAGTGACAAGGCTATATAGGCACATGTGGCCATTTTCATCGGATGTTTTTTTATCGCGTATTTTAACTTAAATTGACCCGGAACTAACTCAAAGCTACAAACATATTTTTATTTCCTAAAATCATTTACATTAATTTTTATTTCCTAAGGAACAATATTCATAATTCACAGTATGGTTTTTGCACCGTTTTTGACAAATGCACTTGCATCACTAATTGTACTTCATTTACTTACGAAACTTAAAACTTATAAACTTATCATTTTCTTGGGCCTATATTGACTTGCTTGGCATATATTGGACTTTCTTATTCTTATTTCATCAATTATTTATTTCTGGACTCTACCGGTTGCTTAAACAGCAGTACAAAATACCCGGTAGAAACACTATTCACGAGATTTTCACGGAAAGTGCCAGACTATACAATTTTTCGTTCTGAACTCATATTTGTCATCAGAATTTTCAAATTATGTTCCTAAAATTATTTTGCTCATTTTAAGCTCTACCGGTTAATTCACAAACTGTAAATTCTCCGGCAGAACGCACTGTTCATAACATAGTCATGATTACAGTCAAAATACTCGAAATCGCTCACTGAATCTAATTATGGCATTTAAATCCTTAAATTAAATCTCTAACTAAGATTTACCAGTTAGGGTCATTATACTTCCCATTGAGTTATATACGTCTAAGCATCTCTGGAGAATTGGAAGTATGTTTGGGAAGCCACTTAAAATTGATCAGAATTCTATTAAGCGGTGTGAAGTAGGAGAGAGGGAAATAACACAGAGGGCAAGATTTGCCAGAATATGTGTTGAGGTTGATTTGCGAAAAGCTTTTTTGTCCAAATTTAATATTTATGGACGTATGTTTCAAGTTGCATATGAGGGATTACACATGATTTGTTTTAAGTGTGGAAGATTTGGTCATAGGAAGGATAGTTGTCCAACTATTATCAATGCAGGGGAAAAAGCAAAGGATTTGGGACATGGCCCACAACATGCTACTGGAGAGTCAAGGAAGCGAGTGGAGATTGATGGAGAAGCTTTTGGGAGTTGGATGATTGTTCAAAGACCTATAAGAGGAAGGAAGAATTTTCAGGTGAATCTGAACCAAGGTGGTAATCCAAATGAGCTAACACGAAAGGGTGGCGGAGCTGGGCAGCGACCGCCGGCGAAGACTGGTGGATCACGTTACGAAATATTAAATTCTGATTTGAATGCTGATTTAAATATCATTAGTCAGGTTCAAGAAACGCCCATTGACGATACGCAGAATAATATTTCAAAGGAGACGGTTGACGTAGCTGTTGGTAACGGCAAGAAGGTTCTGGAAATTAATAAAAATAGGCAGTTAGGAGATGGTGGGAAAATGAATGACATGGAAGGTGGGGTCCCTATTGCAGTAAAAGAAAAAGGAAGTGTATCAGGCACAAAGGTTAGCCTTGGGCCCAATCTAACATTTGGGAATATCCCAAAGATTAATAAGTCCAATTCCAAGGTGGTGAAGCAGACTCGTGGTGGGGGCCAACTGCTTAAACCCAGGTCCAGTATTAAGAAGTCCAATGTGACTTCTAAGACAAACCCGAAATAAGACCGTGGTGTTACTTTCATGCCTTCGGATGGAAATCGCGTGGAGAAACAGTTAGGTCAGAATCATGTAAAGATTGTTCAACAACACGATGTCCAAAGTAGCAAGGAGATGAAACCACCGGATGCTTTGGAGCTTATGCGTCAGTATGATCAATCTCATAAGGGGATGTACTCTTCAGAGGAAATTGTCACCTTGGGTGGCATCACAGTTCACACTGAACTCAGGTAGGTGGTTTCAAACCATTTTATTACCCCAATTCTATCTGGTTTTTAATGATAGTGTGTGTATAGAATGTAAGGGGGGCAGGGAGGAAAGGACTTTGTCCCCTTCTTCAAGATATTGCTAGAAAGTATCGTATTAAGTTACTGGTTCTTCTTGAGACTAGGATTAATGGTGAAAGAGCTGATCAAGTAATAAAGAGTATTGGTTTTAATAACCACTATACAAGGAGTGCAGTAGGTTACTCAGGGGGCATTTGGCTTATGTGGAATAATTTGGACGTTGGAGTGCAGGTTTTGGATAATCATCACCAGTATGTTCATGCTAAACTATCATGGAAACTGGAGAAAAAAACTGAAGAGATGACGTTTATTTATGGGAGCCCGAAACGTGTGGAACGTAGAATTTTGTGGGATAATCTTCGTTTGTTGTGTACTCAACCTTCTATACCCTGGGCAATGATGGGTGATTTTAACTTTTACTTAACTAATTCAGAAAAAACAGGGGGTGGGGATCCTTGTTGGGGTGCTATGAATGAATTTAAGGATTGTTTGGATGATTGTAAGCTGTCTGATGCTGGTCACAAGGGTCCTAATTTTACTTGGAGGAAGGGGTCTCTTAGAGAAAGACTTGATAGGTTGTGCTCTAATGAGGCTTGGAATATTAAATTTCTTGATAGGTGGGTGAATCATCTTCCTTTTTATTCTTCTGATCACCGACCTATTTTTCTTTGGGATGGGCAACCTTATAGGGCTGAAAATGGTGTTAAGCCATTTCGGTTCTTAGCAGCTTGGCTCACTAGTGGAGACTTTGAAGAGGTGGTTAAATTGTGCTGGAATAAAGATCTGAATTGGAATGTGGCTTGCCCTAAATTTCAGCAACAGGCTTTAGATTGGCATAGAGAGGTTTTCAGGGCTGAGACTTGCGAGAAAGCTAATCTCCATGCTAGGATTCGTGGTATTGATGATCCGCTTAATGAATGTGCTCATGGTCCTTTGGAGCAATTGCAAAGGAAATTATGGAAGAAGCTTGATGTTATTTATCTTAGAGAGGAGCTTACTTGGTTCCAACGCTCAAGGAGTAATTGGTTAGCCTTTGGAGACAAAAATAATAAATTCTTCCATTCAGTTACAACAGCTAAACGGAGAAGAAATCGTATTAAGATGTTAAGGAATGATGATGGTGATTGGGTTGGGGATGGTAAGGAAATTGTGGAGTTAACAGTTAATTTTTATACCAAACTTTACTCCGAGGAGGAGTCTCGAAGGCAAGCTTTTCCAATTAAAGGGGTTTTTCCCAGACTTGATATGTCTATGTTGGATAGGATGGGTGTTTCTCCAAGTAGGGATGAGATCAAAGCTGTGATTGATAGCATGGGTCCTTTTAAAGCTCTAGGGGTGGATGGTCTACATGCTGCTTTCTTTCAATCTCAATGGCATGTTGTAGGGGATTCGGTCATTAATCTAGTTAATAAAGTTTTCCAACAGCCTCATTCTGTTCGGGACATTAATCAAACTTTGATTTGTTTAATCCCGAAGGTTGATAACCCAGAGAAGATAACTCAGTTTAGACCTATAAGTCTGTGTAATGTGACTTACAAGGTGATTATTAAGCTTGTTACTAATAGGATTAAGGAGCACATGTCGAATCTTGTGATGCCCAATCAGTGTAGTTTTGTGAAGGGTAGGCATAGTAGGGATAATATCATTATCACCCAAGAAATAATTCATTCTATGAGAAGTAGGAAAGGGAAAAAAGGTTGGATGGCAGTGAAGCTGGACTTGACAAAGGCATATGACCGAATCAGTTGGGAATTTTTAGAAGATACTTTAAGGGATATTGCTTTGCCTGAGAATATAATCTCCTTAATAATGTGTTGTGTTTCCACTTGTACTATAAATGTGCTTTGGAACGGAGCTACTACTAAAGAGTTTAAGCCTTCAAGAGGTCTTCGACAGGGGGATCCGCTATCTCCTTATCTGTTTGTTCTGTGTGTAGAAAGATTAGCTCATATGATTCAGCTTGCAGTGGATCAGAAAGCTTGGAAGCCAATATACCTTAATAAAAAGTGCCCTCCTATATCTTATTTATTCTTTGCGGATGATCTGTTATTGTTTGCTGAGGCAGATGTGGATCAAGCAAATATTATATCTAATATTCTTGACTGTTTTTGTGCCTCCTCTGGGCAGAAGGTTAGTAAGGATAAAAGTCGAGTTTTCTTTTCGAAGAATGTAAGTCATATTAGAGCTAATGAGGTGTGTGAAGCTATAGGTTTTAGCATAACACCTGATTTGGGTAAATACCTTGGAGTTCCATTGCATCATCGTAGAGTTGGAAGATCTACTTTCAATTATGTTATGGATCGGTTGAGAGACAGGTTATCAAGTTGGTCCCAATCATCCTTGTCTTTAGCTGGTAGGGTGACATTAGCAAAAGCAGTTTTATCATCGATTCCCATCTATCCAATGCAGACTAGCTTCCTTCCTATGTCTCTTTATGATGATATGGACAAAATTACTAGGAAATTTATTTGGGGTTCATCACCTGTAATTAGAAAGCCTCATCTGGTTGCTTGGAATCGTGTTTGTCAGCCAAAGGATCTTGGTGGTTTGGGGTTTAGAAATATGCGTGATATGAATAAAGCCTTGATCATGAAAATAGGGCATGGCCTAGTGACTCATAAAGATAATCTCTGGACTAAGGTGCTTCAGGTGAAATACAACCTTGAAGATGGTTTGCTTCCAACCATGAATAAGCCTCAGAAGTCTTCGAACCTGTGGAGAGGGATTGTGCATGTTTGGCAGGATGTGATAGATGGTTCTTCAATCCTTTTGGGCAATGGACAACACTGTAAGTTTTGGACTGATAGTTGGGTTCCTGGTTTTGGGGCTATAGAAGATTTGGTTCTTTATCCTCTTAATCATGGTGATAGGGAGCTGGTTGTTGCTAATTATGTTACGCAGCAAGGAGTTTGGAATTAGGAAGCTTTTACTCATTTGTTACCTAGGGAAGTGAATCATAGTATTGCTAGTATCATGGCTCCAACTTCGGTGGACCAAGACGATAAAGTAATTTGGAAGGAATCTGGGGATGGTTGCTTCTCAGTTCGTTCAGCTTATAGTCTTATCACAGCAACTGATGAAGAAAATCATGGGCAGCATTGGAAGAGAATCTGGAGTTGGGATGGTTCACCGCGTATTAAGACTTTCCTTTGGTTAATGATGAGTAATAGTTTGCTCACTAATGCTACGCAAACTAATAGAAATATGGCTGATAGTGATATTTTCCCTCGATGTATGGCACAGAGGGAAGATATTCTTCATGCTATTAGAAGCTGTCCAAGGGTGTTACAGATCTGGAGCTCTCTTTTTCATCCTATGCAATGGGATACCTTTGTATCTCTTAATCTCACTAACTGGTTATCTTTTAATCTCTCTTCTAATGCAGGTATCTCAAACAGTTTTGATTGGTCTTTGGTCTTTGGTGTTACAGCTTGGCAAATCTGGAAGGATAGGAATAGTCTTGTTTTCCAAGATAAGACTAGTCCTCCGCAAGCTATGCTGTCACAGATTTGGTGTTATGTGGAGAGAATGGTGGAATCAAATATGAATCTTAGGATTGGTGGGCTGCATCATTCACGGCCTAGAGTGGTTAAATGGGGAATTCCCCCTCAGGGATGGCTGAAATTGAATGTTGATGGAGCTAATGGTGGTCATAGGGGTCTCTTTACTTGTGGAGGAGTCATTAGAAACAGCTCTGGTATTTGGTTGATCGGGTTTAATAAAAGATTGGGTGCTGGAAATACTGTGACAGCTGAGCTTTGGGGAATTCTTGTGGGTCTTAATCTGGCTTGGGAGAACGGCTATAGGAAAATTTTACTTGAAGGAGATTCTTTAGCTGCGCAACAACTTCTTCAGCAATGTGATAAAGATCATCCACTATTGCCATTAGTTAAGGATATTAAGAAGCTTCTTAATAGATCGTGGTCTGTGAGAGTTCTTCATGTTCTGCGTGAAGGGAACAAAGTAACAGATTGGCTTACAAAGCATCATTTGAGTCAGAATGCGCAAGTCAAGGGGACTTTGACCATATTGCCACCTTTTAGGCAAAAAATTACCGGATTGCCACATCAGGAAATTTTTTTGCCAAAATGCCACGTCACAATCTCGCTGGTCTGACAAGCGGGAATGGTCTGGACACGTGTCAGCGTCTGAATAGTCAACCATTCTCGCTGGGCTGACCAGCTAGAATGACAGAATGCTGACACATGGCAAAAGTACAAGCATTATCTGGATGTATGTACTTTTGCCACGTGTCAGTATTCTGTCATTCTAGCTGGTCAGCCCAGCGAGAATGGTTGACCATTCAGACGCTGACACGTGTCCATACCATTCCCGCTTGTCAGACCAGCGAGATTGTGACGTGGCATTTTGGCAAAAAAAATTTCTGGCGTGGCAATCCGGTAATTTTTTATTAAAAAGGTGGCAACATGGTCAATGTCCCCAAGTCAAGATCTTCCTCAGTCCACCACAAGGGTGTCAGTCTTTGGTCTATAATGATCAAATGGGGGTTATGACCTCCTGATCCTTTTAAGTTTTCTGTTTTGTTTTTAGTTTTCATTGTATCTCAAAAAAAAAAAAAAAAAAAAATTAACGTGTCACTATTTAGGGTTTTTAAAAGATTATTAATCAAATGACTGAATGAGTTCCTCAAAGTAAAAAATGTGACAACCGTCCTTTTGTTACCCATTGTTCCAAAGCTCACTGACAAAAACTGACCGG